TTTTATAACTTACATTGAATGTGCGTTACTTTGGTAATTAGGTATTTCAAACGTTAAAAGTTGTTTGAATGAACTGTGCCGTTTATGAATACCTCTCGTACCTTGGACTAGTATGGCATCCATAAGCGTAAGGAGGTTGCCAACTATAAACCCATGAGAGTTGCAACAGTAATTTCTTTCTGTTTAGATTGAGGGAAAAACTAGGCCTATTATTGCGGGTAAGCTGTGGAATCAGGGATTTTCTTCTGTGCCTCCCCCTAACGAAGCCACAAAATTGGTTTGCTGCCCCGAATAGCAACACTTGCTACACCCATCTTAACTTTGCTTTCCTACATGTAGCTACTCTTAATTGTCGGTGCTCTTTCCCTGAACACATTAACCTTTGTTTAGCTGATTGGCCACTATAATGCTATTAGGTGGAGTATCATTCTACTGTGTCGAGGTTCTGACATTTCAGTGTGACAGCACTTAAAACCTTATAACCTTGACCCTTGCGATGAGGCTTTACTAAGATTTGTGCAGATGTCCCTGACAAAACTACGTTACAATTTGCTGTTACACTGTAAGTTTCCGAGGCGATAAATCCGTTGTATGGTTTGTTACGGATCCCCATCACTCCTGACAGAATTCAGAAACAAACTTTACAAACATGTATATATGGGGGATAGAATTGATTATACAAGGGCACTTGATATAGGTTACGCGGTACTGTCAACCTGGCACCAGGTGGCGTTGTTAACTCGGATCAATACTAGGGATATATTTCATCCGTTCACGAGTCGCTATTCACCCGACACCTGCAGGAATGACCCTGCCGTGTTTTAGCAAAGTTCTGGAGACTTAGCTAACAAACAGAAGCCGATTAGATATCTAATAAGGTTTTGACAGCCATTTGCACCCAACAATCGGACAAGTGTTTATTCTGCTAGCAAGACAAACAGACGTTGATTATTTTCTGCAGCGTTTGAGCATATACTACCGTATCTTGTATCCCTCCCTGCTTACAACTGTCACAAACTGTTCAGTTCGATCCCCTGTATAAATACAGTCGGGTCCCTAATACTTGACCGTGTTGACGTCCCCAGGCGAGGCTTACTGAACATGATACTACATACACATGTACGGGAAAATTTGCAGTCGTTCAATACAAGTGTCTGTATGATTTGTCTACGGAGACCATACTTTTCGATAGAAAATTTCGTTGATTTAATGATTCATTTTGGCTATTTTTAACTATATTTTTTATAATGCTGTTCCTTTGATCAAGCTTTACCGTGTTTTCCTCTTTTATTTTATATTAAAGAAAGGTTGATTTTATAGCTCAATATGTCCTCATTCGAACTACAAACAACAAAAAATAAGAAGGGTGCTAAAATGGCACCTTGCAGTACCTAAGAGTTAAAACAAATCACACTCTATCCATTTATCAACACATTTGCTCTTTTTTTAAGTGGTCTCTAGTCATACACTTCTCTGTGAAATTTTGATTTTATTTGAGCTTAAAATTTCAAGATAATAAGAGATATGCCTTAGAGAAAAAAAATTGAAATTCATTCTTCTGAAAGATACGGTTATTTTGTATTTGTGTTCAGTTGGTGTTGATTATTAGAATGTCATATCACTGTTACGATGACATATATATAAGGAATGTTCCTCGTCTATATTAATTGTCTGGTGGAGACTCCTTTGAGATGTTATATTGTCCACATCTGATTTCTTGAGGTGACAAATGAGGTGGAAATCTCCCAATATTTGACTATTGTTAATAACTGGTCGAGGTATCATGACGATATGATAGGTGATTGCAATCGGGGTTGTCTATGAGGAACGTTAGATCATAAGGCAAACCTCTGGACGATGTCCAGGAAAATGGTTCTATCATATAACTGCGTTCAAAACACACATGATCTCGGTCGATTTTTCAGCTTAGTGACCAATAAAGGTACAATCTAAATCAGTAATATTTTCCTACGTTTTAAAAATGAAACAGGATAGGCACTTCCTAGGATTCAAAGTAACCTCCTTCAGGTAATACACATCAATGGTAAAAAATGTCTACGGATGATAAAAAAGAATTTTATAAAATCATTTTCAAGCTAGTGATGCCTCATACAACCTGGCGTGTAAGATAAATTGCAATAATTTAAACTATCGACAATCCCTATTCATACAGGTGCGTACGGCTTCTAGTTTATTTACCCCCTGTTCGCCCCATCACTTTGCTATTTCAAATATATAATATTTGTGTCAATATATAAGGAAAAGCGTTAACGTTTTACACATCGTGGCAATCGATTCAATATTTGACAGTTTCTTACATGAAAGCTTTCAACGATGTGCATGAAACCATTAAATGTTACTCAAACTTCCATTTAAAACCCCTTCGCTCGGGTTGTAAATTTGAATCGTAACCAGAACACACTAATGGTGAAACTGCAAAATGTGTTCCCTGTCATCGGAAAAACATCGATTTTGATGAATGAACTTCCGCTCAGTCAAACACATTTTATATTAAGGCCTTCCGGAAACGGAAATAGACACAGGTGATGGTCGATATAAAATAATAGATGAATTTGTAATAAAGTTGAAAGAACCGAAAATATAGCGAAGTTATTGAAATAATATCACAAGAGTTTGGTTTATTGCAAAACTGTAATCAACATCAAGTGTACAAAAAATGGTATCGCCACGCTCGCGCGTGTGCGATATATACAGGTATACATAAAATGAGATTAAGTGATTAAGATTGCATTTCGTGAGATTAATGGAATTAATTTCATGCATAAGATGTCTATTTATGTATAACGAAATGAGAAAGCCCTGTGTAGCTCGCTCTGTGCATCAGAGAGAGCGTATGTAGGTAAATGCTAATATACGAGCATGTTATGTAATGGGTATATTATGTTCACTTGTCAATTACATTGTGCTTACGTGACAAGAATGCAAATATCTATTATAAAAATAAAGTATTTGCATCTTATCCATCGGATGATTTGTTAACTCATATTAAATGTTTTCAACTAACTACTACACAAAAGTTGTCTATCATATACCTGATCTGAATTAATTCTGAATTTAATATATACTGACGGGTGTTAATCTCACCTGTAAAATCTTAAACTTGAAGCAAACGTTAACAATCAAAAATCAATTTGAAATTCAGACTTAAAGATTATCTCAGACAGCAGAAAATCAATAAGAATTTCTTAATTTTGGGCAATTTCAGACAATAAAACCTGCAATTTTTAATAGGAGAAAGTTTAAAAGAATTGAAAAGTTGTGCTTAGGAAAACACAGTCAATATGAAATCTCCTTCACATGTACCGTACTTGACGAAATTTCTATCGCTGCGATCCATGATTTCTCGAAAGAGAGCTATATGTATAAACTCAGATTTATTTTTTCCCGAACTTTTTTATTACCATATTTATATTTTTGTAATCAATTACCATATTTGTAAGGACGCTAAATATTTTTATTAATCGATGGGAAATTGATGTTTGAAAACTTTTTTCCCTTTTTTACTTTTTTTTTCGTTTTTGTTTGTACTAAGATTGAAATGACTAAAATGTCATAGGTAATAGTCGAAGCAACGAATTAGGTTAAAATGAAATAGAATATGGAAATTTAATTCAATCACACTGAATAAGCATTTTCTTTGAGAAATGTAGCATTTCAAAATTATTTTCGATTCTATTTCGAGATTTCGGAGGAAGAAATATCACAACGACAGCACGTATCTGCGTTTACATTTTCAAATAAAAAACTTGTTTAGATTGAAAAAAAAATTTGTTTCCTTATCTAATAAAGTCACCTTCAGCTAGTTTTAAACGAGCATCAGAAAACCAGTAAATACAGTTGAATCTTAAATCTTTTTCTGTGAGGTATCAGACTTAATCAAACCCAAAGCAACTGTTTATATGAAATATGACGTTTTGGAAAGCACATCCGTTTTTTCCCACAAATCCGTGATGTGTTCAGTTGACAAACGTAGACGTTTATTTTTCCATTAATTAAAAACATAATTAGAATCGGTTTGCTATCTTAGCTCATGTTTAAATCCGGCGTCTTAATTAACTATATTCCGTTATAAATGGACGTACACCTTTTTATGTGAATAGTGAAGTTTACATACTCACATAGGTCTGTACTGAACGACTTATATCTCAAGGAAAAAGGTTATTTAAAATGTTGAAATGTACACGTATAATCTATTTCGTTCCATATTTCATGTCATTTTTCATTACACATATCGGATTTTACATAAATTTGAATTCGTTTCTGTGAATTTTATTGCATGAATTGTAACCATTTTCATATGATATAGGGTACGTAAACTAATGGTACATTTATGCTGGTTTCTCGCCAAGGACATGTTTTTATTGAGATAACGGAGCAGCACATCACTTCTCCCTCTTGTATTCATACAATGTAGTAAAGTTTCTATATACAATACTATAATGTATATAACGATCTATTCATCCGACCATATAAGGTTGCAAGTCAAAAAACCATTTCATGAAGAGGTTAATTATCGGTCAGGCAACCAGATCAGTTGAAATAAAATAAATGTATCCCCTTTGACAAATAACTTATTGGTTAGCCGTTGGGACAAGGTTTCATCCTACATGTATATATTAATTAATCATGTCAGTTCCTGTCCCCTGATATCCGGATATTGAAAAAAATATTAAGATATTCTTGGAAATGTTGATCGATAATGAGTTATTAATAAGTGAATCCGTTGTAGTATTATGTTGTTTGTTTGTGCCAATAAAGTGGAGAAAACAAGTTTATACAATATGGAAAGAACTGACTATTGCCAAATTGACTGAAAGATGAGAAATAACATTAGGTGAGAAAACAGGAGGTATCATTACTTCTAATACATATGACGAGACAAAAACAGGGACGTTATAGACAAATTAATGAAATATATTCATGAATGATACTGAAGTAAAATAATCGAAACACGATACATCACCAGGAACTTGACTTACCGTAGTAGACATGAGGGACCAGGGTAAACGCCGTGCTCCCGCTTCCACTGCTCGAGGGCCGGGAACCATGGTTATTGCCGAACCCGAGCCCCAAGGGAAGAGATTTGACGGAAGAAGGGTACGCCCCCGGGATGGCGGGAAGTGTTATCCCGCTCATAACTAACTGTCACAAGTTCTCACACCGCAGTAAGTATCCAAATAAGGCAATGCACGTTATCACCGTTACGATGCACACAGAAGATCACCTCTATGCTGCATCCGTATTGGCTACATACCCGTGGGTGAGAGAACTAGGGTGGGATATCCATCACTCGGGTCCCCGGGCATTACAACCCGTGCGCCGTTAATCCGTTTGATAGCTGTCTCGGCCACTCTGTGTCAGTTTTCCGTCAGGCAACGCTATTTCTATACACCGATTGATTTTTGAACGTCTTCTTTACAATCTCAGATCTCGATAGCCTTTGTCCTTAACTTGAGGTCTATAATTCTGATTTAAATTGCCAGCCGTGATAGCGACTCCTGGCGTAACTATGCATTACAGTCCTGTCCAACCATTGCAGGACTTAGCCAGAATAATGCCGCTCGGACTTGGCAGCCGTACCTGTAGCAGTAGATTTGAATTTAAAGGTATATACAAATGAAACCAGCGGAGTGTTACCGATACATTTTGCCAATACACGAGACTTCTTATGTACGACGATTTAACTCGGGTTTAACTCTCGGGGTAATACACTAATGAATAGCCGACATACGGCGATACATAAATGGTGTAGATATATATTAAATCCAAAGTTCATAAACAATTATACAATGTATATATGTATTACGTGCCATTTGGCGAGATGTCTTTGTTTGCGTGTTTACGAAAGGGGAATTAACGCACTTGCAGTGGTTTGATTCTCCTAAACACACTTTTTAAATCCGTCACTCTGACCAGCGGTCACTAGGTCAAGATGATTGATTATTACCTTCGACAGGTATACATGTATAATATGAACACGTTTTTGTATTTAAGTGGAAACAAAAGCGTTCTATTTGGTCCTGAGATGTAGGGACATTAATAACCGTCTCAAGGAGAAGGTTATAGCGCTATCGTCTATTTATTTTCGGTCCGTTTTATCAAAAATAGAATTCCATTTCAAGGTATTTGGACACATTTTTAATTATGTGATCATAACTATTACCGTAAGATTAATTTGACTGCTTTTATCTAGAAAAGGGAATTGATATATGATTTAATGGTTAACGATGAGTAAGCAATTATATAAATTGATTTTATTTATGTTTGTAAAGTCACTGTACAATAGTATACTCTTTGAATGTTAGAAAGGGAGATAACTCCATAACGATGGTTGTGTGATCTTTCTTTTTCATGTAATGGATTAATCAGATTAAGGTGCGTTAGATGGCATTGAAAACCAAAAGGTCGTGATCGATTCCTGTAGAAAAGGGGTATTTTTGTATATCTACATACACACTATAGGGTTTTGTTATAATGCCCCTCTCTTTACAGGTTACCTCGTTTACACCTCCATAACTTTTTAGATGTCAACTTTATAATTTTTGATATCGTCTGAGTTAGTCTCTCTCAATCACTTGCCTTCCCCATTTTAACGCAAGATAAGGCAGGACGGATAATGGCAGTATAAATGAATGAAGCATGTGCCTTATAAATTTCCGTTTGTAGATTTCACAATGATATTTCGTAGAGAGAGACCAATATATTCTAAACCGAAAAGTAGCCTTTTCCATCTCCTTTCATCCCATTATTGTCTTTCCCTTACTTCCCCTCTCTTGATTTCCTTTCACTCCTGTTTGCCTCTGTTTTAGCCACACCCCACACCCCAACACCCCCACCCCCATACTAACCCCCTCCAACATATGCTCCCCTCACCCCTCTTCGTCCTCTTCTGACCTTGTGCTCAGGTAGCTGTGTCAACTCTAAAATACCAATCGATGTCAAGGTTTTATGTCGGTAGACCAACTGATTGGTTGATAATCAATCAATAAGTGAAGAGATCGATAAGATATTGATTTGCCTACACCGCGTGTTAACGTGCCAAGTCCCCTTCGGTCGTAATCACATGGACCTGAGTTGGTTTAGCGAAAATATGGCTGCACTGTACTTCCAGCAAAACATTCCACGGGTCTCGGCACGTGGCTGACGTTAACCTCATTAATATTCAAAAAAGTGGCAGGCTGATCACTGCGAAAAACTTTGAAACTCTGAAACGGCTTGTGTTTTTATAGGAAACGGAGATCATACCCGCGGTAGGAGAATACATATTACGTGCATATCCATCTTTCAAACGGTACTCAGCATTTTCCCGTAGCTCAACTAGAAATGCTGTTTTTGATGCAAGAAAGTAAGGTGGGGTCGACATTTCGACATTGAGAGCTTTCTTCCCTTTTCGGTTATATGATCATTGGGGTGTCATTTTTACCGAAAGTCAATCTAAAACCCTAAAACATGTTAAAATACTCTAAACACCTTAGTTAAGCTCCAAATGTATATGTAACCTTCCAATGTCTTTACCGCGCTGGGTTTATCCCTTTCTATATATAGCTACTTACTATAAACAATCTGATTTATTTATGTGATTTGTTTAAAAGTTAGCGCCTTTTTTAAATTGTAACTAATATCTTCTGATAATTCAGAGTGCTGCATAAGATCATTCTTGTGTAACGTTAACGAAAATATTCAATTTAATATACTATTTTATAGCAGATATATAAATATGTTTCTAGTTTAGAACTCTGTTTATAAGTCAAAGTTCTCCATGTCACATTAAGGTATCATACATCTTTAAGTCTTCATGTCACAGTAATTGGCATATATTCATAAGACTCCATAGCATACATCCTTACGTCTCCATGTCTCAGTAACCCAGCATATCTCTTTAAGTCTCCATGTCACAGTAAATTAGCATACATCCTTAAGCCTACAAGTCACAGTAAGGTAGCATACATCCTTAAGGCTCCATGCCACAGTAAGATAGCATATCTCTTTAAGACTCCATGTCACAGTAAGGTAGCATATCTCTTTAAGTCTCCATATCACAGTAAGGTAGCATACATCCTTAAGGCTCCATGCCACAGTAAGATAGCATATCTCTTTAATTCTCAATGTGACAGTAATGTTATATACACCCTTAAGTCTACATGGCACAGTAAGTTAGCGCACACATCCTTAAGTCTCCATGTCACAGTAAGGTAGCATACATCCTTAAGTCTCCATGCCACAGTAAGATAGCATATCTCTTTAAGTCTCAATGTGACAGTAATGTTACATACACCCTTAAGTCTACATGTCACAGTAAGTTAGCGCACACATCCTTAAGTCTCCATGTCACATTAAGGTAGCATACATCCTTACGTCTCCATGTCTATGTAAGATAACATATCTCTTTACGTTTCCATGTCACAGTAGGTAAGCATACATCTTGAAGTCTCCATGTCACAGTCAGTTAGCATACATCCTAAAGTTTACATGTCACAGTAAGGTAGCATACATCCTTAAGTCTCCATGTCTAAGTAAGGTAGTATACATCCTTAAGTCACCATGTCACAGTAAGGTATTATACAACCTTAAGTCTCCATGTCACAGTAAGGTAGCATACATCCTTAAGTATCCATGTCACAGTAAGGTAGCATACATCCTGAAGTATCCTTGTCACAGTAAGGTAGCAAACATCCTTACGTCTCCATGTCTAAGTAAGGTAGTATACATCCTTAAGTCACCATGTCACAGTAAGGTATTATACAACCTTAAGTCTCCATGTCACAGTAAGTTAGCGCACACCCCCTTAAGTCTCCATGTCACATTAAGGTAGCATACTTCCTTAAGTCTCCATGTCACATTAAGGTAGCATACATCCTTACGTCTCCATGTCTAAGTAAGATAGCATATCTCTGTAAGTCTCCATGCCACAGTCAGTTAGCCTACATCCTTAAGTTTACATGTCACAGTAAGGTAGCATACATCCTTAAGTCTCCATGTAACATTAAAATAGCCTACATATTTAAGTCTCCGTGTACAGTAACAGTAAGGTAGCATACATCCTTAAGTCGCAATATCACAGTAAGATAGCATATATCCCTAAATCATCATGTCACAGTGATATAGCATATGTCCTTAAGTCTCCATGTAACAATAATTATAAGGTAGCAACATCCCTAAATCCTCATGCCACAGTAGTATAACATATGTCCTTAAATCTCCATGTCACAGTATGGGAGCATACACCTTTAAGTCTCCCTGTCACAATAGCTTAGCATAATCTCTTATTCTCTATATCCCAGTAAGGTAGCATACATATTTAAGTCTCCATGACGACACAGTAATTATATGGTAGCATACATCCTTAAACCTTAAATGTCACAGTAATAGTCATGTAGCATACAGGTCTTAAATCCCCATATCACAGTAATGTTGCATACATGCTTTTAATCCCCATGTCTCAGCTAGGTAGTATACATCCTAAGTATCCATGTCACAGTAAGTTAGCATATATCCTTAAGTATCCATGTCACAGTAACGTATACCATACATTCTTAAGTCTCCATGTTACAGTAATGTAGCATACATCCTTAAGTCACCATGTCACAGTAAGGTAGCATACATCCTTAAGTCACCATGTCACAGTAAGGTAGCATACATCCTTAAGTCTCCATGTCACAGTAAATTGGCATACATCCTTAAGTCTCCATGTCAAAGTTAATTAGCATACATCTTTAATTTTTCATGTCAAAGCATGGTCGTTTATTTAAGCTGCACATTTGTTTAATAAACATTTAAATTTTGTATAATATGCATTAGGTTATTTGATATCCTAAATACCAAATACAACATCTTGTTGAAATATTAAATATAAATCAGGAACATGGCCTAGCTCTTTGTCAGTCAACAATGATAAGCTAGACTTGGTAAAGGAACACAGGAAAACAAATAGTGCATCCCCCGCAAAGCCTCGCGTGCTAAGGTCTCCGTATATATATATATACATGCAATGACTACATAACTTGATCGACAGCTGTGACAATAATGTTTTGTTATCTCATTTTGTTCAACAATAAATAATTATTTAAATATCGTAAAACATATTATTTAAATCTGCTAATATGTATTTACCCGTGCCATTTTTTATTCCCGCCAACAGTCTCGGCGACATAACAAGTTGGTTGAATACACGGCGAGCAATGTATTTTAGGTTTCCGTTATAGCTATACACGTAACTATTTACTATACAATATATATATATATATAATAAAAAGTGATTAAATGTCCATGTGAAGGAAGTAAATATAGAAAAAATAAAATTAACGACCGACTAAAAAACTAGCTGCTTTCACCTTTCACAGGGCTCTTCAGGTTTATTCAGGTAAGGATATACATAAAACATAAAAACATAAAAAATACATAAAAAAAAAATTAAAAAAAAATCTTGCACTACTAGAGTGTTGTAGTCTATATTAATATAACATTTTCATCTTATAGTCATAAGTCAAGTATGCATATCATTGCCGAATGCAGTGAGGTCTCGTTACGTGTTTATTAGATGAACATGCTCATTTCGATCTTTAACCAAGATCTTTAAACCTGAAGAGCCCTGTGAAGGGTGAAAGCAGCTAGTTTTTTAGT